ATTTTTGGGTGCATAGCATATGCACATGTGCTAGATCAGAAAAGGAGTAAGCTTGATGACAAAGGCGAAAAGTGTATTTTCCTTGGAGTTAGTGATCAGTCTAAAGCTTACAGATTATACAATCCTTTAACCAAGAAGGTCATCATTAGCCGTGATGTAGTGTTTGATGAAGCAAGCACCTGGTCTTGGACAGAAAAATCTGGGCAACAGATTCTTGCAGATTTCCTTTAACCAAGAAGGTCATCATTAGCCGTGATGTAGTGTTTGATGAAGCAAGCACCTGGTCTTGGACAGAAAAATCTGGGCAACAGATTCCTGCAGATTTCAAAAATGGAGAAGATTTGACTGTGTAGAACTCAGAAGGTCAAACTTCAGCAGATCTCGAGGTTTCAAGACAGACAGCTGAAGAAAGTCTACCTACAGAAGCAAAGCTCAATAGTGGAGGAAGTCTACCAACAACACCAGAATTGGAATCTGGAACTAGTTCCAAACCTCAACGCAAAAAGAGGAGACCAGCATGGTTGGAAGATTATGAGGTAACAGATCTACCTCAAGATGATGTTCCAGTTAATCATTTTGCTTTATTTGTAGATTGTGATCCATTGACATATGAAGAAGCTGTTAAATAAGAAAAGTGGCAAAAGGCCATGGCAGAAGAAATTGGTTCTATTAAAAGGAACCAGACTTGGAAGTTGACAGATCTTCCAAAAGGGCACAAAACAATTGGTGTTAAGTGGATCTACAAGACAAAGCTCAAAGAGAATGGGGCGGTTGACAAATTCAAAGCTCGCTTGGTGGCAAAGGGTTACAAGCAAGAGTTTGGCATTGATTATCAAGAAGTTTTTGCTCCAGTTGCAAGGATGGATACCATCAGATTGGTGATTGCATTGGCAGCACAGAACTCATGGCCGATCTACCAACTTGATGTGAAATCTGCCTTCTTGCATGGAAATCTGCAAGAACAGGTATTTATTGATCAACCTCCTGGTTATGTGAAATATGGTTCTGAGCATAAGGTGTATAGATTGAAGAAAGCATTATATGGAGTAAAACAAGCACCTATAGCTTGGTATAGTCGAATTGATACTTATTTTTTGAAGGAAGGTTTTCAAAAGTGCCTTTATGAGTATACACTTTACATTAAATTTGGAGATGGAGGTAAATTGATTATAGTATGCTTAGATGTTGATGATTTAATTTATACTGGGAATGATTTTGGCATGTTGGAAAAGTTCAAGCAGTCCATGAAGCTTGAATTTGAAATGACAGATCTAGGCTTGCTGCATTATTTTCTTAGTCTGGAAGTAGTACAATCAGATTCTGGAATTTTTGTTTGTCAGAAAAAATATGTGCAGGAAGTTCTGGACAAGTTTCAAATGAAGAACTGCAATTATGTCACTACACCAGTTGACAAAGGTGTAAAGCTTGTGAAAGATCCAGGAGGTAGATATGTGAACAGCAAACTGTATAAGCAAATTGTTGGAAGTCTGATGTATCTGACAGCAACAAGACTAGATATAATGCATGGTGTAAGTCTGATTAGCAGATATATGGAGCATCCAAAGGAGTTGCACTTGCAGACTGCTAAAAGAATTCTCAGGTATTTATGTGGAACTGCAGATTTTGGACTCTTCTACAAGAAGGGTGACCAGACAGATCTCGTAGGCTTTACAGACAATGATTATGCTGGAGATTTGGATGACAGAAAAAGCACTTCTGGGTTTGTTTTTATGTTGGGATCTGGTGCAATTTCATGGTCTTCAAAGAAGCAGCCCATTGTGACTTTGTCCACAACAGAAGCGGAGTATGTGGCAGCAACTTCTTGTGCTTGTCGAGCTGTTTGGTTGAGAAGAATTATCGAAGAACTTGAGCTGAATCAACATGAGGCCACTTCCATTTATTGTAATAATAGTTCAGCCATCAAGCTTTCTAGAAATCTAGTTTTGCATGGGAGAAGCAAGCATATACATGTGAGGTATCATTTCTTGCGCAACTTGGTAGAAGATGGAACAATTGCAGAACATAAGATCAAGTGGTTGATATATTCACGAAACCCCTCAAAGTAGCAGCTTTTTCAAAACTGAGAGAGTTGGTGTTTGCAACATGCACAATTCAGTTTGAAGGAGGGTCTGCAGATTCTAGATTGCAGATCTACAGATATGGTGTTATCTAAATTTCTTTAAACTAAAGTCTGAAGACTTTCAGTTTAAGGGAAGAATTGTTGAAAATTAGATCCTATTATTTAGCCATTATCTCTATATTTTAGGAAGTTTAAGTTATTTATTTACTTTAAGTTGTTATCATTTAAATTAAATTAGATAAAATTAACTAGTTATCTTTTAAAATAATATTATCTTATAAAACTTATTTAAAAGCTAAATTATTTTTGAGATTCAGTTTTTCATTTTATTTATTTATTTTTTTTTTCGGGAATCCTTGATTCTTTAACAAGGAAGTTACCGTCCATATTCTATCGAGATTAACCATGGATGCCGAAGAGGAAAGAGAGAAGAAAGGAGTCAGACTTGCAGATGATCCTTCCAACAGAGCGATGGTCCAGAGAGATCTTCATTGTCTACCACCGGAGATGCGGCTCGAAATCCTATCAAGACTCCCGATCGCCTCTCTGATCCACTTCAAGACCACTTCCCATGCCGCCTATGATTTAGTCGCTGATCCAAGACTCCCTCCGATGTTCCGTAATCGGGTAAGCGAGTCAGACCCATGTCTGATACTGTTCGACTTCAATTTCCGTGTCCCCCGGCGACCCTATTTTGTGGATATTGAAGATTGTAGTAGAAGGGTTAGGAAAATCGATCCACCACAGCATTCAAAAGCTAATGAGCTGGTGGGTTCTTGTAACGGGCTGTTATGCTTATCCTTAATCGATGGTTCATCGGAGTCCCAAAGTCTGCTAATTTACAATCCTTTTGTTGGAGATGCTGTGAGTGTCCCACCGGCGAACCCTTTTCCAAATCAAAGTGAAGCTTTTGGATTTGGGTTTCATCCGAGGACAGGAGAATTTAAAGTGGTCAGGATTGTGTGGTTCGCGCTAGATGTGGAAGAAGTGGAAGAATTAATGGTTCAGGTGTTTACTGTAGGAACAGCAGAGTGGAGAACGAAAGGAGCTACGTCTCCACAGTTGGCAGGTGTAACTGGACCACCTGATGCTCTAGTTGAAGGATCTCTCCATTGGGTGACTGTTGTTGGGATGGGTGGAGACGGTCCTATCTTTGGTATTATCTCCTTCGAGCTTGCAGATGAGGTGTTCCAAGAAATTCCGCACCCACCTTGTCAACGATTTGTGTCACGTGAGTACAGTCCTTCTGTGCTCAATGGGTGTCTATCGGCAGCTAGGTTAGTTGATTCTTTGCATTTTGATATCTGGGTGATGAAGCAATACCATGTTAAGGAATCTTGGGTAAAACAATTCTCCTTTGATCCCTGTTTTCCCGATATATGGAGCTACTACTCAAGAATTTTTCCCGAATTTATATGTGCACTGAAGAGTGGTGAGATTCTGTTGCGTTCTGATAACGATTCTCTAGTTTCTTATGATCCTGTGGAAAAAAGATTAAAGTCTCTTCAAATAAGTGGGTTACCCAATTATTTCCGGGCACTTCCTTTTCTACCTTCTCTTTTCTCAGCAAAGGCAACCATGAATTTGCAACTTTAACTCTCTCTTGTGAATAACCCTTTTTCTGTAAGACTCTATTACTAGTTTTTAGTTTGTGTTGAATATTTGATCATCAATGCATCAGTAACAGTTGTGTTATTTACATCATCATGGATGACCTCTATTGTATGGCAATGAGACCCACCTGACTATTATCTGCCTTTTTCTCGAAAGGCAGTTCTTTAGAACAAGGAGATTGTGTTGGACTGGGACAAGTCTCATAATTAATGCTCCTCTTGGAATGGTGATCAAAGATTTTGCTTCGTGCTGGGTGGGAAGATTCATAGGAGTTTTATGTGTCCTGAAGAACGGGAAGATTGTGTAGGAGTGTAACACAATCAAAATTTATATGAATTGCAATCAAAATTTAATAAATTATCTGCCCCCATCATCAGTTCCGTTGCAAGCGCCGACGCGGCTGAAGCCCTGGTTACTGGCATGGCAACTTGTTAAGAAAGAAAAAAATTTTTTTTTTTAACAAATTAACATATGGGGGGTTCGAATCCAATCCAAAGGGGAGGAGAGGTGCACCTTCAACGTAACTAATGCCATTAGGCCCGAAGGTGCAGGGGCGGTTAAGAAAATTAATTAATTCAGCTTTTATTAATATAATTAATAAATTAGTGCCCTACTTTGGTGGTGTGTAACGAATTATTATAACGATAATATGCTTCATTATTACTCCACGCCGCGGTGACACGTTTTGGTGGGTTTAGGACTTTTGTTTTGTCCCTTTTCTCAGTAAACAAAAACTTCCTCTCATGGATTATTAGCTGGCATTGGATTAGGTTTTCTCTCCCATCTCTAGTTTCGCCTGACACGAAATGTGAGTAACAATGTGCTGGAACCATTTTCTTTAACCTCAACCCATCTTCTTCTTCCTCTCCTTCCAAGTTCCAACGTTAATGGCTACGAAAAGCCGCATGGAGAAACTAAAGAACCACTAATTTGAAATGGTTATCCGTGGAATGGCTCTTGGAGAGGAATCAAGCTATTGTTGTGCAAATCCTCCTTATCTTAGTAGTGAAATTATTGTTATACATTTAGTTTAACATAATTTTTAATATTTATTTCAGTTTAGTTATTAAAATATAATATAAATATAATTAAGTTAATTAATTTATTCATACTGTATACATGTATGGTTATATTTTTAAATTTATTTGTCATTAATTTCAAATTAAAAAGTAATTTCAAAATTAAAAAGTTATAATTTTTTAATAAATATGTTTTATAATATGTTAAATTAAAATGTATACTAATCATTATCTATCTTAATAACCAAGCAAATATATCATTGAATTTTTTTTTTCAGCCGAATCAATATGTCAATGAATTTCAATATAGTAGTATAGCATATTTTACCTAGTGCTATCTAATTCTACACTTGCAATCTTATTTTATCAGTTTTCAATCAAATTCTCCAAACGTGCCCTTTGGGACTTGTTTGGTTGAAGAAATAATCATTATTCATTGGCTACAAATAGAGTAGACTTAATTTATTAACGTATGATTTGTTCTCACTTCACGTGTTCTCTTGATTCCATGGAGTGGAAAAACCTAAAGGATCATCCTTGCCCTTGAATCCCTTTCTGGTGCTTATCCAATAAACCTAAGGACGACTTTGAACTCTTTTTTTTTTTCTTTTTTCAATGTAGTGGGACGACTTCAAGAGGTCGAATGTGAGCGTACGTAGAAGGTTACCATTAGGGATCGTAACAAAACCTATGGGGTTGAGAAGTGCCTATTCCTTGAACTGTAAGGACGAGGAGCCTTCTGTGATTTTGGATGGGTCCGTCCCCTTTACCTGCCAAAAAATGAGTCCCTGCAAGATTTCCTGCCCCAAGCAATCTATATTACAAAGTTAATTTAATTATTTTTATTTTATTAATGTAAAACAAAATGTTTTAAAAGTTTGGCTAAGGTCAAAATATTGTATCAAGTTACTTTAATATCGATCTAAAATTAAATATAAGTAATGTGTATAACATATAGCTATAAATTAAATACTTAAATTAGATTATATAGAACCTAAAAAATCAAAACGTCCATTATAATCATTCGTTGAGTGGATCTCAAAAATAAGATCTACTCAACAAATGATTATGATAGACATCCTTGAACGTCAAAATGTCATGATTTTCGTATTTCTTATTAGATTATGTTTAATGAACTTTTTATTATTTAATTTTTCATGAAAAACAGATATACCAGAGAACCCTGCAAAGTTTTGTAGAGAGAAAATGGCCGTCTCAACATGCAGGGATGGGAAATTTCCACCCCTAGCTAAATTAATCATGGTAAAATACCCAAATTCACCCTTAAAATATAGTAATAGGGATAAATTCACCCAAATAAAAAATAGGATAAATCTATCTACAAAATTTTCGATTTAGACAAATCACCCTAAATTTAACATATGACGTCATCTTACATCAGTAATCTGTTAATTTGTTATATCACTAATAACACATTACTAATGTCAAATGACATCAAATTAATGGATTACTAACGTCAGGTAACGTTACACGTTAAATTTAGAGTGATTTGTCCAAGTTAAAAATTTTGTGAGTAGATTTGTCCCTATTTTTTGTTCCGGGTGGATCCATCCTTACCACTATACTTTGAGAGTGGATTTGGGTATTCCGTCATTAATCAATTCCTTAGTAAGAGGATAGAAACGAACAAAATTACAAAGTAAAGGGACGTCAATTGGATTTAACCCAATAAAGTTTCAATCTTTGACCTAGGCTTCTACGCAGAATATAAGACGCCGGCGATGTTTCCTTTCTCTCTGCATAAACATGGACCCAGAAGAGGGAAGAGAGAAGAGAGAAGGCAGAAGTCACCCTTGAAGATGATCCTTCCAACAAAACGATGGTCCAGATAGATCTTCTTCCACAGGAGATTCTGCTCGACATTCTATCAAGACTCCCGATCACCTCTCTGATCTACTTCAAGTTCACTTCCCATGCCGGCTATAATTTAATCGCCGATCCAAGACTCCCTCCGATGTTCCGCAATCGGGTAAGCGACTCAAACCCGTGTCTGATTCTGTTCAACTACAATTCCCCTGTGTCCCGGGAACTCTATTTTTTGGATAGTAAAGGTTGTGGTAGAAGGGTTAGGAAAATCGGCGCACCACAGCATTCAAAGGTTTCTAGTCTGGTGGGTTCTTGTAATGGGCTGTTATGCGTATCCTATCCCACAGTCGGTGGTTCATTTGCGACTCACAGTCTTCTAATTTACAATCCTTTTGTTAGAGACGCTGTGAGAGTCCCACCAGCAAACCGATTTCTGAATCAAAGTGAAGTCTTTGGATTTGGGTTTCATCCAAGGACAGGAGAATTCAAAGTGGTCAGGATTGTGTACTATGAGAAGATCATGACGGTAGCATCCTTGGCGGCAGATGTGGAAGTAGTGGATGAAGGATTCGCCGCCGTTTATGAATCAATGATTCAGGTGTTTACCGTAGGAACAACGGAGTGGAGAAAGAAAGGAGCTCCGCCTCCACAGCTCACGGTTGCACCACCTGAGGCCCTAGTGGAAGGATCTCTCCATTGGGTGGTTGTTGTTGAGATGGGAGGAGGCGGTCCTATGTTTGGTATTCTTTCCTTCGACCTTGCAGATGAGGTGTTCGAGGAAATTCCGCACCCACCTTGTCAACGACTTATGTCACATGGATACAGTCTTTCCGTGCTCAATGATTGTCTATCGGCTGTTGGATTAGTTGAAACTGGGCATTTTGATATCTGGGTGATGAAGCAACACCATGTCAAGGAATCTTGGGTAAAACAATTCTCCTTTGATCCCTATTTACCTCGTGGATGGCCAATTAATACTTCATGCTCAGTTCGCAGACTTCCGAAAATCATTTGTGCACTGAAGAATGGTGAGATTCTGCTGCAGTATAACAACAGGTCTCTGGTTTCTTATGATCCTATAGAAAACAGATTCACGACTCTTCTAATAAGTGGGTTACCCGATCAGTTCCAGGCACTTCCTTTTCTACCTTCTCTTTTCTCAGCAAAAGCAACCATGAATTTGCAATTTTAACTTCCCTTTTTATGTCAGACTATACTACTAGTTGTTTTAGTTTAGTTTCTGTTGAATCTTTGATCATCAATCAATCAGATGATAATGTCTAATCTTCTAGTCAAATGCTTTCTTTTATTGGTTAAGTTTTATGATCAAACCCAAGCCAGGAA